TAAATAAATCGTAAAAGCTGTTTATAGTATTGATTCTGAGTTGATCGCAACCAATATTATTTCTATCTGATGTCCATGACTCGAGAAATTTATATACAACGGTGTCAAAGTTATACACAAACTCATATTATGTAATATGGCCGACGAGGCCGCGCACATGATACAGACATAACAATTATATTTTTAATCATATATATTAAAAAGAATAAGTATTATATTCAAATTATGATAGGAGCGTACCAGAATAAGATCTGTTTAAAACTTTGTTTCAAATACCAAATCACATAGACATCAGGTTTTGTATTTCGTTGACACAGTTTAATATCAATTTCTCGAGACAGAGACACCCACAATAATTGGTTGCGTTGCGATCAACTCCTAAACATTTTAGGCTTCAGCCTATACTCCTTTTCATTTTACTTTACCTGTCCCTTTAAACAGATTTATCTCCTGACAGAATAATCAGATTGAAACTAATTACATCATATCTTAAACTTAACTCACAATTCGCCATTTTTATTTGGCTGTGAAAAAATATATAAGATTATAAAAAATATTGGTAATGAAACTTGAAGTTTATGTGCTCCTAAAGCTTATTATCTTTTATTTGATGATAAAACTGTGAAAGTTACTCCAGTATTTTAACTAAATGCTTTTTTCACTTTCCAACTGATCTCTTCGAAATCCGGTTACAAAGGTTATAAGGAGTAAAACATTTGCGGCAAAAACTATCTAGGCCAAAATTAAAATAATAATTTGCGTGTTACTTTTTTCACAATACATGCAGGGTTACCCATAAAGGAGGAGATTTTGGAGACGACTGGGGGGGGGGGNCCTCCCCCGTTACAAAACTGGTAGTTGCGCCACTTAATATGTGGATACAGACGTAGTAATCTAATATGTAACCGAATGAATTTGTTTATCTCAATCTTTTGCCTGAAATCAAAACTAGAGAAGCTACGAGGTCACAAAGTCGTAACAGTCATGTCGCATATAGTTTCTATATTGCTTAATGTTTATTTAATTTAATGTTTATTTGAAAATAATTATTTCTTATTTTGAATGTATTCAGTAAATAATAGGAATTTCAAGCGCTGTATTTATTCTTTTTAAGCGTAAATAATTTGTCAAGAATGAAATATAAAAATACCTTGGAGAGAAGCTTAAATTGATAATTTTATTTTTGTAAATATTTCACATTCTTTACATTCGTATTAATTCAATTTTTTAAAACATTTTTCTGCTGGGAAATAGAATTATGGTTAATAATCTAATGTAATTGTTTAATGTTCATTTCTATTTCATTTCTATATTTGAGATAGAATTTAATTAGAAAATAATTAATATTTCAGAAAAATTTTACATTTCTTAAATAAAAAAAATGAATTTAATAGTTTAGATAGGAAAAAGGCTGATTGCATAGATTAAATTAAATATCATATAATAGAAAGAACATATTAGATGGGATAGAATGGAACACGTTTTTAATAATAGGTTTTGATAGAAAAAAATAGATTATACTAGATAAAATAAGTTTAAGAGTAGGTTAGATTATATACAATAGTTTAATAATAGGTTAGATTAGATAGTTTGACGGTAACAACTATCTTTCTATCTATCTCATTATCCAATCAGAATTATGAATCTTTTAATCGGCGCTATGATTAAATGGAAATATTTACATCTACTGAATTACTATAGTGTAGATTAGATAGAATAGAATACGTTTAAGTTTAGGCTAGATTAGATTGAATAAATTTAAGAATAGGTTAGATTAGATAGAATAGAATACGTTTAAGTTTAGGCTAGATTAGATTGAATAAATNATTAGGTTAACGGATATTATTTTTTTATCAACTTTAACACACACTAGAAACTAGAAAGGTTTTACTTGTGACTTTACTGGATCTTTTCTTGAATGAAAGAATTAAAACAAGTTTCTAGATGATTCTGTGAGATTAATTCAAAAGTTTGAAACTCAAGAGATTATATTGCTCAATATATATCTTAGACTTGGTCTAGATCAAGGTTGTATCCAGACCAGGAGAAATCCAGGAAAACCAGAACTGTCAGAGCAAATCGAACCCAACTCGTAGGAAAAAAAAACTCCTTTCTTCAGGAAAATACACTCATTAACGATCCATTATACTTTATATGCATTGATTAAGATTTATACAACATACCCTGAATTATATCATGTATTGTTCCTAGAATCATTAATTAGCCATTAGACTTCATTAATAAATTATGTGTTCATTAGATGCCAGATTATGACTGTATATTAGTTTAATAGGATAGTTTATATTAAATCTATGGGCTTTTAATTTAAGAGAATGGCCAATGACCGTCTATATCGGAATTGTCAAATTTGTACTTTTCCTTTAATTAGAATCCNACTAGGGTCAAGTACTAAAAATATATTATATTTGAGATATATATATGAACGAAATAGGGTTTTATATTACACATTTATGCAAAATTGATGGTGTGACCTTGCTACCTCGTAAGAGACCCTTGTTTTATAATATCTTCTAAATAATTCTTATTAATCTCGTTTGAAAATTTGAGAATGTCCAATTTCATAATTGGCACGATCGTAAAGGAATTGAGTTTTTGCCACAAACTCTGATTTTCTAATCCCTATATCTTTGCAACCCGATGGTGTAAACCTTAGATATTTCAAACTATGAACTCTGTTTGATCAAATAGTCGTAGTTTGAAATATCAAAGGTTTATCGGGTTGCAAAGATATAGGGATTAGAAAATTTGAAATTGTGGTTAAAACTCAATTCCTTTGCTGGTGTTTTATGTTTGCATTCGTAAAAGTAAAAATTAAGGAATTTAATTTTATCTCTTTAATTGAGAAATTTAATATTTTAACATGATTTTACAAACTTTGAACAAATTATCAAAGTTTTTTCTTTATTTTGACATGAAATCCGGCCCCAGATTCATGCTGAAAAATATTCGTTCTAAAGTTTTTAATTTTCGGAAGATAAATGAGTTTGAAAAGATGGGATTCATCAAACTAAATGTTTATACAAGGAATAACTTTGGAGCATTGAGGGGAATTTTTACAAACTGGACATTCAAGGTGCTGACAGCATCTCTTCTTTTATTTATTTTATACAATCTTTTGTGAGGTACTGTCTAGAGACATGTGTAATTGGTTTGTATTTGGTCAGAATTAATCATTTTTCAATAATGCCGTCAACGATTCTCAAAACCATATTTAAGAAAGGAGAATAGTTGTTCTAGAAATTAAGTTCTTTGACTCTTTAAAACCCGTTCCCTGGTTTCAAGCTTCTCCAGAGACAAGATCTAGAAAGTTAAAAGTAGAAATGTTTTCTCTCTGAAATTACGTCTACAATCAAAACTAAATTTGACAGTTTCTTTAAATACCCAGGGTCCAAATTTAATGAATTTGAGCCGCGTCTCAAATCCCCAAAAACTGGTTTAAATAGAGCGCCGACTTAAATCTTGAAAGATTGAATGCAACTGAACCAACCATATTTGAGCTGTGGCTTAAATTTAGGCCGCGTCTCAAATTCGTTAACTTGAGCCGCCTCTGATTAAAAGAATTCAATTAGGATTAAACTAATATGTAAGTTTGGAGTTACTAAAAGCATTTGACTGAATACTTATTTTATTAAAACCAAAAACTTAATGCCTGAATTTGAATCGATATGTTAAATTAATTTGAACTTCTTTAAACTTTGCATAAAAAGAAAATGGAGTATTTTGTTCAATTAAATGTTTTAATTTAAGATTTTATCAATGTGAATTATGAACTTAATAATTTGCCCAAATTAGGTTAACCCAATATCCTTTATAGACTGGGTAATGGTTTAGGCCAGACATTTTCTTAATTCAAAGTCTTAAAGCTTAATGAAATATGAAATTAAAAGATTAAATATGTTTATACAAGATGGGATCTTAGAACTAGAACATTATCCAGGGGAATTATAACGTGGATATATATATATATATTTATATATATTTCAGTTTTTAAACTTCACATTTTATTAAAATAGAATTATATTAAACAAAATGTTTCACGCCTCATGACGATCCTCAGTAGTCAGTAGTCAAAATTCTTTGAACAACTAAAATATCAAGATTTGTCCATCACATATATAAATATATATATAAATATATTAAGCACGTCATATCATTTGAATTTCGTATGTATTCGAATAAATTTATTAATATTATACTTGTGCTTTAAATCATAACAAGTTACAAAATTTTACCAGCAATTTTGTTTAAGTTTGACCCTCTTCTTCTGTTTAGTAGAGTGTGGAACCAATGTAGGACAAAATTACAAAAGCGACAAATTTCTGAACAGCTAACTTTTAAGCTTCCCAAACTATCGTGAGGTTCACAGGCCTTGCAGAACATTGAAACTAATTCAGTTCAGACGTTTTGCCTTTTTGTCCAAAAGAGAAGATAGGATTTCTAATTATACAATTTGATTTAAAAGAAAAGTTACGAAAGTGTAAAGGGGGAAAATGAAAGGTTTCGATGTAGGAAAAAATCGTTTTCCTTACAAAACTGAGATTGGAAAATAGGAAACTGGAAAAGGAAGATACAGGTTCTAAAAAGATTCAAAATACATTTTTATAATAATTCTTATTTTTTCTATAATTTGATATATATCAGGATATGAATAGGAAAATATTGAGAAAAATGTTTCTTTTTGACAAGATTATGTTCTCAAACTGTATATATAATTATACATATTTACTGGAACGAAATGTAAAGTATATTTTTGGGTGAATTAAGTTTTAGTTTAAAGTCATTTAAATCTTTAAAAAAATATATTATTTGGTTTACCATTTTGTATCTTCAAAATTAACTGAGACATTAAGAAATTAATCGAAATTTCAATATATTAATTTACATCTCATTCATCCTTGATCAAAATAATATTTGAAATGTTCATTTGAAATTAATTCTGGTGTTTTTATCTTTATTTCTGAGATTTGAGTGTATTTACGTTTAGAAGAAATTGTTGAAAACATTATCAAGATTCAAGAAGTATGATCAAGATTCTAAACAATCCTCAACACAAAAAGGTAAAGTTTTAATGATTTGATTTGATTAAATTAATTTTGAATTGAATTTGAGAGGAGAGGGAGCAAAGGAAAACAAAAATATTATTACTTTCTTGGCAGTCAAGCGCATTAAATCTTTGTTTTGGGTTCAGTTAGCCAACTTTCCGTATCTTTTGTAAAACCTTCCAACCTCCTCTCCTAACATTTTCTTCATTTTTTCAAATAAAAACTATTCACCATCGAATTACAATTTTATTGCAAGAAAGAAACCAGAGACTAAAAAGACATTCCGTGATCAATTATCATGCTAAATCAGTTTAAAAATCGTATTCTAAAGGACTATATATAAGCCTTGTTACACATTCTAATTTACAATTATACATATCTTTGCAACCTGACAGCAAAATCTTTTGATATTTTAAACTTAGACTATTTAACCAAACAGAATTCATTGAATGTAATATCAAGGTGTGTGATGAAAGGTTGAAAAGTATAGGGATTGATAATTATAAAAAAGCTGAAAGGTTTAGTTATCGTAATTTTATCGATTTCACCTTTAAAAATCCTATAATTGAATTTCATAACGAATACTTTATTAATTATTGATTCTAAAAATTATGTTAAGACAGCATACAAACTTTCTCTATCAAATTCAAACCATTTAATTTGAACTATTAAACCAAGTTACCGAGTTCTCTAAAATCAAAATGTGAGGCTAATCGGTCTTTGGTTTCACGAGTTATGATCGGACATACAATCAAACAAACTAAGATTACTACTTTATATATATATAGATATTTCTTTTTGTTTAGACTTGAGGATTAAAGATGGTTGATCACGTGGGACACTGGAGCCTGGTTCTGAACCAACAATGAATATATCCGTACCAAATTCTAACCCTGGATCTCTAGGATCCTATCTTTGAAATTTCCAGCTTCTCATGTACATACACAGCTGCTCATGTACATAAATATGTTTAATCATCTCATCTGCTTCATTATTCTAGTTTCAGCAGGAGCTGTACCCGACCTTTCAACACAGGTAAATAATTCATTTATTTAACCGATTGGGGGGGGGGAGGGTGTTTCCCCCCCCTATGATTTTGCCCTTAGAGTTAAGATATGGGAGTGTGGTACATGTCCCTAGTCCAAATTTTCAAAAAAAAATAGACCTCTATTTTTCATGGTTAGGGTGCAAGGGAGGGTTTTTAAAAAGTTCGTCGGAAAAATGTTCAAAAATAAATATTTTTACTTTTGACAAATATTAACACATATTAACACAGGTAAATAATTAATTAATTTAACAATATTATTGCCCGAGTCAAAACGGTGTCATTAAAAGCTTTCTCGATCAAGAATAAATAAATATTCATTATTATTTCTTTTAAAGTGTGGTGGTAAAGTAGCTTGCAGTCTTGCAATCTTGCAAAGTATATCTTTTGTATTACTGGCTGTATTGTGTATATAGACAAAATCTGAAATAAACCCGATATCTTCCTTATTATTGATTTGTTAAAAGGTTTAAAGGGAAACATTTAAAATGGCATTAGCAGTCCCTAAAGCATAATAACTATTGTTCTAAATAGATAAATGCAATATATTTAAAACTAAACTGGTGACGTGACAGTCCTTGCTTTTTGAGATTTTCTTTTTTATTAAATTCACCTTAAATCTATATATAAATTTGGCTTGTCTGTCTGTTTGTTTGTAACCAATAAACGTCAAAACGGCTGAACCGATCGGGCCCAATTTTTTTGTGGGACATCACGTGACCACAGGGAAGGTTTATGAATGATAAAAATTTAAAAATATGTGTTTTGAAAGGTTTTTAATTCTTAAAAAAAATTTAAATTCTTGAAAATCCGCAATTTTTTTTTTAATTCCGCAAAATTTTTTCTCCTTTGTTTTAAATGTAAACAAAAATAACATGTTCACAATTTAAATAGAAGATGGGCGCGAAGCGCTCTAAAAGCCTAGTGATTTATATTCTAGGATAGCATAGAATAGCTTATACTGCACAACATTTTACATTGAGCCCCAAATTCTACATTTCATCTATGCACAATCCAACATTATCTGTGACACCCTGAAGCAATGTAAGCAAACTGTCTAAATAAATATTAAAACCGGGGCTCTATAGCTCTGTTAACTCAATCACTTCTGTATGCCGAGTCTATTAGCGCCTGATTCAATCAGGGTTCAGTCATGTGTTTGTTGTCTTTTCTGAACCAATAGAAATTGTATGGCGGTAACATCTATCTTTCTATCTAGCTCATTATCCAATTAGAGTTAAATCCTTATATCGGCGCTATCAGTAAATGGAAATATTTACTTTTACTGAAACTATAGTGCATTTCTGAATAGCCATGAGATTAGGCATTCAAATCTTTGGTGTTTATTCTTAAAATCTAAAACTAAATAACCCCTCCTAGAAGTTTACACAACTTTATATAAAAGATCGAATAAGAATACGAATGTATCAAATAACATTTTCATTTGGAATAGGATTAAAAAAAGATATTCTAAGTTCCTAAAAAAAGCCCAATCAAATATTACCATTTAGAAATTTGAGCGTCTTTGCCACCAAATCTGGTATTCTAATTCCTTTTTCTTTGCAACCAAATTTCTAAGAAATTAATTATTTCAAACAATAAACTCTGTAGATTAAATAATAAAGTTTAAAATATCAAAAGGGGTATATCATCAGTTTGCAAAGATATAGAAATTCAAAAGTTTGAGTTTATGGAAAGATTTAATTCCTTTAAAGCAATAAACTTTGTCTTGAATATATATCAACTGTTATTGGAAAACAGTAGCAATTGTTGCTAAATTTATGGTTACTTTATTCGCACTTTGTTGACCAAAAAATTACAAATTCATTTTTATTTTAGTTTTCATTAAACTGTGGGGTTGTATTAGAAACAAGGTCACTTGACTACCATATAATAGCATATATATATATATATATATATATATATATATATCATACAAGTGTATTCGTTGTATTTTCTTATGTATACAGTCTGAAAGCTTTTTTCATCCAGATATTTTGGAAGAAAATGGAACGAAACTTGTTGTCATGGATAACATAAAAATTATAGATGGCTTAGAGCTCTGAATGAAATATATGTCTTGAAATAACCCTGAAATATTCAAGACTAATGTTTATCCAGCTTTTTTATCTCGTATAAATCCCACAGTGGAGTCAACATTTTGGTTAAACTACTTTTTTTTCTTTAAAGGGACTGGACTATATGCGTAATTCTAGGTGACCCTCCGTGCAATGATGGAATTCCTCGATTTACAATGGTACCCTTGAAAGCTTTTTATGATCAAGTATGATATAGATATCAATATTTTTGTTTCTTTAAACTGTTTATTTCTGATTAAAGCAGGCAGTTTGTTTCTTTTCTATTGCTTGATAATGGAGTTCTGTTTACATAAAGTACACGATATACTGCATGAAGTATGGTGGCTAACATTCTTATAAAAGGAAGGAACGGTTCTGTTTTAGGGTAGTATGTTCATTTTACAATACTTATGTTTACAATATACTCTCAAATGACTCTACGACCCAGTTTTGGAAATACTGTGTTTTAACTATTTTCTAAGCACTTACTTAAATGTCACAGGCACCCCCCCCCCCCCTCCACATAGGATAATGTTAATTAAGATCGTCACCAAAACTTGTTTAAAAAGGTGAAAGTGTCCTGGTCTAGTATAGGCTACACTTGTTGTATTAAACACAATATAATATCATTCCTCTATTTATAAAGGATGTGGGAGGAGGGAGGGGAGCTAACCAGATATTGGGAAATATAAATTATATTCTAGAAAATAAAAAGAGGGAAGAAGCAACAATATTCCAGAGCAATATTGTGGGAAAAAATTTGGTCTGGTTTAAAAATTCCAAGTGACCCCGCCATTTGGAGAGTTACAAAGTACAACGGTACCCTTCATAAGCCTTTATCTTAGTAACAAGGATTTCTAAATAGAAAAATATCAAATTATTACTTCATCCTTCATTGTCTTTGCTGTTTACATCCACTACTTTTTTGTAGATAAACCACACGTATATAAAAATGTTCAATAGACAAACAAGAATATTAGTTGAAGGGTTATAACGTTGTGAATCAGGAAAGCCGCGCTGTAATTGGAGGTTCGCTTAAATTTACATTTTGTAATTATTTATAGATTCTAGTAAGGGAATTAGTTAAACCATGATTAAATTGGAAAGTTATATTTTCTTAAATGTTATTGTCCTAATGTTATTGCCAGTTTAACATGCGTATCAAATAAATAAATGCCGCGTCAATTAGAAGACGAATTTTTTTTCCATGACCACTTTTAAATCGAATACTCCTCCCCTAAAAACTTTTTTTCGAAACTTTTGTCCGTTTTATTTCCTTCCGTAATTTCCCTTTTTGCAAAGTTTAAATCTTTACTTTTGTTCAGACTTTTTCCCAACAAAACTTTTAATATACATCTCGTCTTAGGGAATTGGTAAACTTAATGTAAATATATACAATGTACAATGGACACTGTTCCGCTGTTTATTATTAATGAACAATTATTGATGTGTTTAATTCGGTAAAACCTTATTAATGCCACAACAAAATATAACACTTTGTTGGACTTCAGTTTAGGATAAAGAAATAAAAATCATGATTTGATATTGGGCAGAACAAAAACAAAAAGTCTTTTTTTTAAAACTACTGTCACCATAGAAGTCATAGTTAAAAGTGGGATTCATGGCTTCTAGTTGATATTTGTTTGTAAATAAAATCCTAAGTGTAAATTGTTTTCTTTCTAATTAACTTTTTGTCAACTGGATAACAAGTTGTTGTTGCTTTTAACAGTAGTTCTTGTGTGTAAAAAAGGAAACCAAATACCTCTCTTCTAGAATATTATTTTTAAAAGTTTCATTACAAACATAAGCTTGATTAAATTTAACTCATTTTTTTTGCCGCCATAAAAACTTCTTTAACAAATAATATTTTTTTACTTGATTCTGTTTATTTAAATGCATTTGCATCCAATTACACGCCCCTCCTCCAATCCGACTGGGACCCTCGCGTCTACTAATATGTATTATAAAGATCCAATGTCTAAAATAGTAATTTTATTTGCCAGAAAAAAAGTCGATCCATCTGAAGCCTTGTCCTCCCCCTGGGATATAATACTGGAGTTTATGCCAGAGTTTCAAGCTGGAAATTGTAGTTGTAAACCGTCAGAACAATTTATTATATTTGCAGATATTTTCCCAACATTTCTTAACTACAACCTTACAGTAAATGCATATAGACTAAACATTTAATTTTTCTATTTTAGGTTGTGGAGATCACTTACCAGAGCGGTGACACAGCACTCCTTCCCTGCGATATTAGTAACACCAACCCTGTTGACCGAGTAACTTTACTTCTTTGGTATAAGGAGGACAACCTTGGAACCAAGGGGTCACCAATTTACAGGATAGATGCTAGAACCAACCAGGACCTTGTCATTGGACAATCCAGAGTTCCAATACTTGATTGGGTCAATGAAAAAGTTATTGGAAGAAACCGTGTCAGCTTTGATACTCAACTAAGTCCAGCCTCGCTCAAGATTCGTAATATTAGCGAAGCAGACTCAGGGTTGTATAGATGCAGGGTAGATTTTACAACCTCTCAAACCAGGACAGAGAGAATAAATCTCAAGGTGATAGTGCGACCAGGGAAACCTCATATATTTGATGATACCGGAACTGTTCGAGATATATTTGCGGGTCCATATCTAGAGGGGAATGATATCCATCTCTCATGTCGGGTTTATGGAGGTAAACCCCCACCAAGAGTTGTGTGGTTTAAAAACTTCCAGATTCTGAGCGAGCAATATATACAAGAAGAGGATCCATTTACAAAAGAGCTTGTTACTTATAACAATCTGACCCTTCATGCTGTTCCTAGATCTGATCTTCATGCTAATATTACATGTGAAGCTACCAACTACAACAACTCTGTACAACAGAAAACAATTACATTGGACATGAACTTTCTTCCTTTAAAGATGGAGGTACTGAACAAGGAATCTGAGTTGCAAGCTGGAATAAAGCAGACATTTACTTGTAAGGCATATGGATCTAGACCCCCTGCTATACTCACCTGGTGGATGGGAAATCAAAGACTCGATGGAGAAGTATATTCTCCAGTTCCTACAGATGGAACAACAAGTACTAGCACCATCTCCATTGTCCCCACAGAGGCAGACACAAATAAAACTCTAACTTGTAAAGCAGAGAACCGGGAGATAAGACAAGGCATACTTAAAGAATCATGGGACTTGGACATTCTCTATCCTCCCCGGATAACTCTGGAACTATCCTCCATGTTGGAGGAACAAGATGTAGCGGAGGGAAATGATGTATTTTTTGTGTGTAAGATAAGCTCTAATCCCCCCATAAACAGAATGGTAGAGTGGTATCACAATGGAAAACTTTTAAAACAGATTCAGAAGAAAGGAATCATTATGAATTCTTCAGGCACTAACCTTGTACTACAAGAAGTAAAGAAAGAGGCCAATGGGAACTACACATGTAGTGCAAACAATGGAATTCCCCACTCAGGACACACAGTTTACAGCAAACCATTTAATCTAGATGTAAAATATCTACCAGTTTGTGTTCCTGAGGGTGTTAAAGTGTATGGGGTGGCCAAGGAAGAAAATGTGAGAATTCGATGCCAAGTTGCCGCCAATCCTTCTAATCTCACATTTCGTTGGACATTTAACAACTCTGCAGAGATTAAACATGTTTCACAAAACAAATTCCAATCTAATGGGACTATCAGCCTTTTCAGTTATAAACCAGAGAGAGAGTTAGACTATGGCACCCTGATGTGTTGGTCTAGAAACTCTATTGGTGAACAACAAAAACCGTGTGTGTTTCACATCATAGCTGCTGGGAAACCCGATCCAGTGAAAAATTGCAGCATATCAAACGTCACTTCAAATTCTTTCCAAATATCTTGCAGCCCAGGATTTAATGGTGGTTTGCCGCAGAACTTTACAATTGAAGTGATAGAAAATGAAACATTAGAGAGTCCAGTTTTCTTACAGATTAAAGAAAAGCCAATATTTTCAGTTCTGAATTTGAAAGAGTCGACTGAATACAGGGTTTATGTTGCTCCAGTGAACATGAAGGGAAGTGGACAGCCACAAAGTTCTCAGGGTACAATAGTTAAGACCCATGCAGAGGCAAGACCAGTTATAACTAACCCTGAAGGAAACCATGACACCAAGGAGGGGATGAATCCTGTTCTGGTTCTTATATTTGGAGGGGCTACCGGCTTATTTATCATCTTGTTGACAATAACATTGGCTGTGAAAATTAGATGTTCTCGAAGCAGAAACATAAGCAGAGAGAACAGTAAAGTAGTTGTCACAACAATAACAGACATTGAGTTCAACGAAGATCATCACAACGACCGTCTGCCTCTTAGTCTGGCAGTTCCTGAAGAGACTGAACATGGTGGAGAGGTTGCCTTTAAGCCTGGCAATTCCTATATTGATGATTCATTCCCAACCTCTAATCCATCTGATGAGGACACCTCTGCCTACATAAAAAGACATGCTCAGGGTAGATTTCATCAACATCAACCAAACTTTCATTACTTAATGTATCCGCAGACAGAACAGACTCAACCAAACAACAGTTATTGCACCTTGAGAAAACCACACAGCAATCCAATCTCTGTGCAGTTTACAGATTCTTCACGAATAGATCATCAATTACCATCAGAGTTTACCGGCAAACCTTGTGGTAAAGCCCCTACAGGACTAGACCCACAGGGAGCTGATGTGGTGGATTTCTGTGAGAAGCAGAGAGCAGGGTTTATGTACGGTACCCTGAGACACAACCGAGGGAAACAAGATTTTTGTTCAACTTCGTATAGTGGGAATCCAGGGTTTCCTGGAAACGGTGTCGAGGAGACTAGTGTGACACAGCCTCCTCAAATTCATGGCTGCTTAGTACCTCCCCCTCCAATGTTTGAAGAAGGAAACTTAAACATTAAAACTCCACTGATTGCAAAGAAGTGTGGAAAAAGTGAAAAGAAGGATAAAATGGAGAGCAGAGTCTAGAAATGATGCTTTGACAGAGTAGAGAAAAATAGAACAATTTTGAGTTCTGCATTTGCAACAATACACCTTTTAACAAGAATTTATAAGTGTTTTTATAACCTAAAAGTATTTCTATTATTACATATATTATATATATATCTATATATATATCCCGCATCATATTCAATGATGGAGAGGGAAAAAATCCATCAAGAGTGAGATATTACATGGAAGATATATTTATCACTCTACTGAACGTGCGAGTATAAAAAGAACCTCCTGCTCTTTACATGACTGTGTTGTTAAATGTAAGAAAATATATTTACTTCTGGCCCTGTTTAAAAATCTGCAGCAGCTGTTGAACCTTTGTTGAGTAAATATGAATATATTAGAAACCCCTGGAGCTAAAATACTTTACCTAAATTTGTTGTAATCATTGTTAAACAGTGTGTACAGACAAATATACAGAAATTAAATTTTGTATCATAAATTAGTTCGAGATCAAATGTTGTTTCTTTTTTGCAAAATTACAACACAATATTTAATGCAATAGCAATGAATTTAGCTCAATAAAACTTCCACCAAATATGAATCAAAACATATTGATTAATATTCCATTTTGATGGTGGCAGTGTTCGTTTAATAACTGTTTAGGAATCTTGTGGATTATTCTGTTTCAAAATCTCCGCAAACAAGGATTTTTTTATAGTTTTTTTTCCTGATTAAAAAGTGAGAAAATTTGCAAAGGCAAATTTGCACAGGTGACTCGAAAATTTCTTTGAAAACAAAACGAGAAATTGACAAAAATATGATAGTTTCCAATATAAAAATTCTTCAATATCTTTTATCAGATCAAAAGATAAAAGAAGATTATTGTACCATAAAGGCTGGTGGACCTGGAAATGTAAGCATGAAAAAAAGGCCTTAAAGATAAAGTATTGGGGTGAAACGCCTGCTGTACTTTTCACATTAGTAATTAATTCGGATATTGTACATTTCTGAGGGGGTTTAAAAAAATGTAGAATTTAGGAAGGTTCAATTGTATTATTTTTAAGTCAAAAAGCTTAAAGGTAATGGTTTGAAGAAACAGAAACCCCAATATAGGATATATTGAGGAAAAGATACATGTATATAGGCCATAGGTGAGCTTTTTGGTCTTGTGGTTTTGTTTTTATCTCCTAGCTTGAAACTTTAAACCCTATCCCGATTGGGGCTATTTTTGTCTGATGTGTCCCCCCCCATGATTTTCCTCTTAGAGTTGAGATAGGAGAGTGAAATACATGTTTCTAAACCAACTTTTCAAGTTCCGCTCATTAAAAAAATTAGACCCAAAAATAGGGAGGTTGAAAAAATATATGTCGGAAAAATGTTGAAAAATATTTATTTTTACTTTTGACTAAAATTAACATGTGATACATGTTGATTGTTGATACATTCATTTGTCAAGGGCTTTTCAATATGTAGATTGCATAATAAATAAAACAGTAATGGACTATTTTTATTTTTTTATCAGAAGCCTTCCAACTGTTTACCCGTCTTCAGCCACATTACCCTGTGCATCAAAAAAATATATTTTGTGTTTAAAATTTGATCACAGCTATAAAGTTGAAAAAGTAAAACATTTTGAGAGTTTTAAGTTATGGATTAAAAAATACAATTTTAATAGGGTTAAGAAAAGTAGGTTGGGGGAACATATAAGAGTATGTGTTTTCTTATTGTGATACAAATCTATAATATTTGATAATTTTTTGGAAAGCCCTTGGGCTATACATTAATAATCTGCAAAAATATGGCAAATTTGCAAATTTTCAAATGTTTCTTGCAAAATTATTTTGTAAAGGAAACATGTGAAAACACAAAAAGTGCGCGAAATATGATGAATTATACATTTTGAAAAGCCCCTACCATGGCAAATTCAAATTTTCAAAAATATTTGCAAAATTTTCAAAAACTAATTTTGTATTCAAGGAAAACTGAAAATTTGCAAATTCTCTTTTTCTAGGCATCTGTGCAACAATTTAGGTAACATTTCTTCGTAAAAATTGTGCAACTTGCTTGTTTTTGGTCAATGCTTTCAAAAGAGCTATAACAAGTCGAAATCCAATAACTGTAGCTAGGTCTAAATATAGATTTAGTTGGGTAAAGGTAACATAACCCATTCAGGCAGTTTGCCTGAGGACTCAGGTAGTAGGTATAAAAGCCCCGCGAGTCTAAAATGAGGGGCAGAAGTTAGTTAGAAAAGTAAAAAAACGTGAGGGGGGTCCCCCCTCCCTCCAGCCGGAATAGGGTTAATAAATTGAGCCGTGTCTAGATGCAGTTCCAACATGAGACGAGGCTTAAATTCGGTTGGTTCAGCCGTCGCTTATTTGGAACCAGTTATTGGCGGTTCAGCGACGCGGTTCAAATTATTTAAAAATCGGCCTCAAGATGTTATAAGTTATAAATCAACGTCAAATTTTATATGTATTTTAATTTTAAATTGAACACAAATATTTATCAAACATCCATTATACCTGTAATCCATATATCAATAGTAACTTTATAATAGGATCCAATTATAATCCTTCTTGGTTGGGATTAAAGAATTACTGAAGGTATTGAAAATCTAGGATTATCTGAAAATATCTTCCAAATAGCTAATTGTATTAAAGAAATATATATAAAATTATATAACACAACAACACAAAAAAGAAAATTAACAGGCATTGTTCGTCTTAATATTGTAAAAAGAAATATCTGAGATTTTTATAAATTCTTAAACTTTGAATTCCACGGCTTCCATAAATATGGGTGAGGTAAAACCAAAAGAAGAGGAAATATGCGTTTTGACACTTCAAAAGTCTCAAAATTTGATGAATAACTTTCATATTTTGTGACAGAATTCCATCGACTACAATATATTTAAAATTCTGTGGGATAATCTTTAACAAAAAAAAATTACAGTAAAAAATGTTTAATGAAATAAATTCTAACAAGAAAAATAAAAAAAGAACAGAAAATTTGTTCCAGAATTCAGTTATAGTCGACCATATTCAAATTTAATGATTTGTAAATACAAATTTTTCTCTGTTTCCACGAAATGACCATATTTTTTGCGCAACAATTTTTCGCGAACTTTTGCGCATATTTTGAGAATAAAACGCTATAAGTTAGTTAATTGTTGGTTTGCGCATTTTCGCGTAATTTTTGCAAAACCGGAAGTTTTGCGCAAAAGGTATATTTTTACGCAAAACAAGATATTTTTAAGCAATTGACCAAAATTGATAGTTTCAGCACATTATTAATTTACATTTACATAAAACCATTATTATGATTATGCTACTTTGAATTTGTTACTTTTACTTACAAAACTTATAAATTAAAAATTGATACAAAGTTTTTAAAAGTCTGAATCTTTATGTAATGTTAACCTGTGATATTTTGAATATAAATTACTCTAGAATACATATAATTGAAATAAAAATCTATGACCACTGAGATATAAACAACCCAGAGTCATCAAATTTCTATACAGCCTAGGTTCTAGGTTAACCTTGTCTGTAAATCTAAATTCTAAATAGACTCTGTATTGATTACCTTGCGAAAAGTAATTGTTCCTTGTTTAGCAAACAAGTTAATGAGATCGTGTTTGAGATTGTGTCCCTGTTTGGCTTTAATAGTTTACAATATCGTGTCAGTGTTTGACATTGATAACTGATATTATCATGCCCGTGTTTGGCATTGATAGTTTACAAGATTGTGTCCATGTTTGGCATTGATAGTTTACAAGATTGTGTACATTTTTGGCATTGATAGTTTACAAGATTGCGTCCATGTTTCACATTGATAGCTCAAGATCATGCCCGTGTTTGGCATTGATAGTTTACAAGATTGAATCCATGTTTGACATTGATAGCTCAAGATCATGCCCGTACTTGGCATTGATAGATTACGAGATTGTGTCCATGCTTAACATTGATAGCTCAAGATCATTCCCGTGTTTGGCATTAAGTTTACAAGATTGTGTCCATGTTTGACATTGATAGCTCAAATATAAATTTATACTTAAGTGTTTAAAGATTATATGTTGAAAGACCAAGATTAAATACTACTTGGAAAAATTTTAAGGATCAAAAAATTCTTATATTCTAAAAATATCGTTTTATATTCTCTTATTGACGTTTTGAATATTTAACATATTGTGTCATTTGTTAGAGTTTTCTTTTTTAATACTCTTTGGATTAATCTTTTGTGTATATTTTTTGTGACACATTTTCTAGTAAATATTCTTTGGATCTTCTTTTGTATATACTCTTTGGAGCATTCTATAGCAAATACTTTAGGGACATTTTTCTAATAGATTTTTTTGGAGCCTCCGCTTTTAATACTCTTCGGAGCCTCCTCCTCCAATACTATTTGGAGCACACTGTTTTAGAGCCTTTCTTTGTAATTTTGTTGGAGCCTTCTCTTGAAATGTTTTGGAGCCTTCTCATATAAATATTGTTTGACAAGAAGGAAACATAAACCAGACATTATAACTCTATGTATACTTATACATACAGTACATACACAGCTTTTATATATTATTGTATATACAGTACACATACCAGACAAGACAAGATACATTAGATCGATTGTTATTTCTTGAATAAACATATTGGATAATAGATTTACCCATATACTGCATATTTATCTATCTGTCTATCTATTGTTCCATCTATCTTTCTAAGAAACTGAATATTTAGTTGGTTTATTTTAGAATTTTTAAAATTCTCAAATTACCATGACACATTAAAATGTATAAGAAGATTGCTAAGAGTATCTTTAGCTTTTCAACCCTCATGGTTTAAAGAGAAGCTGTAAGCGTGCATTTTAAGTGACTTCAAATTGGGACATCCCCTATTTACATTACGTTACCATTGAAACATCTTTCTTATCAAGGATGACAGGGTTTTCGTTATATATCTATGCAGAAACACTTGTAATTTCAAGCTGTTTTATATTAATATTTACCTGTAGATATCGTTTTCTAGTCCGGAAGCTTAACTAACCAAACCAAATATATAACAGTGCTTGAAGACGTGTCTCGAGGTTCCAGAACAAGATCTTCTTCTAGTCGTACTAGAACCAGCAGTCCAGGTCTTCAGAGTGTTGGTACCATCGCAAATGGGGAAACCAGGCTAACCAGCGCAGATTTTTACGAATTAATTCTTACGACATTAAATTTAATTTATAGGTTGCAAAGAATATTTAGAAAAATTGAGTTTGAGGAGATTAATCAGTTTTCCTGATTTTAAATGAGTAAATTTTCCTCCTGTACTTTTTTTTTGTTAAGGCTGGGATTACATTTATACTATAGTCAGCAACAATGAAATATAGACCAAGAACCTCAGCAAGCAAATTATACTTCAACATGAAAGATATTACACAGAAATTAATTTTCAATAACTTTCCTCTTTCTCAGCATGCTCCCAACGAGGGAAGGGAGGAAGGTCAGCCAC